TGTGTGTATATGTGTATGTATGTGTGTGTATATGTGTATGTATGTGTGTATGTATATATGTGTATGTATATACATGTGTGTGTATATATATGTGTGTGTGTGTATGTGTGCATGTGTGTATGTATGTGTGTGTATGTGTGTATATGTGTGTGTATGTGTATGTGTGTGTATGTGTGTATGTGTATGTGTGTATATGTGTGTATATATATGTGTGTGTATACGTGTGTATATGTGTGTGTATATGTGTGTATATATATGTGTGTATATACGTGTGTGTATATGTGTGTGTATGTGTGTGTATATGTGTGTATATGTGTGTGTATATGTGTGTATATACGTGTGTGTATATGTGTGTATATGTGTGTGTATATGTGTGTGTATGTGTGTGTATATATGTGTGTATATGTGTGTATATATATGTGTGTGTATGTGTGTATATGTGTATTGTGTGTATATGTGTGTGTATATGTGTGTGTATATGTGTGTATATGTGTGTGTATATATATCTGTGTGTATGTATATATATGTGTGTGTGTGTGTATTTTTTTTTTAAGAGAGAAAGAGAGCAGGAGCAGGAGGGGCAGAGGGAGAGGGAGAGAGAATCCCAAGCAGACTCCGCAAGGAGCATTGAGCCTGACAGGGGGCTTGATCCCACAACCCTGAGTTCACCACCTAAGCCAAAACAAGAGTCGGACACCCAACCGACTGTGCCACCCAGGCGCTCCTGCTGGAACATGTTTTAATCTTCTGTAATTGCCTTCCATCATGACCCTTATACAATCGGGCCATTATGTATTTTCGTGGGATTCTCTGCTTACTGTCAACTTCCTCACCAGCAGCGGGAAGCCCCCTTGCTGGGCATATGAGACACTGAATAAATGAAGGAATGAGTGATGGAACGTTTCATGGGGGTTCTTCCTAACCTTAGAACCTTCCCCAGGTCACTGTGCCCCACCCAGGGCTCTCCCCCTCTGCACTCTGCCTGCCTCTCACTGCCCTCAAGAGAGGAACCTGGGTCTTAGGGAGGCTGGAGACGAGTCTGAGATGGCCCAGACCCACTGTGTCCCTGCTCCAGCCTGTGGAGAGACACGCGTCCTGCA